AAATTTTAAAAAGTGTTTTTGCTTAAATAAGAAATCTAACAAGTGGTTGCCAAGGCTGGGGTTGGGAATAGAGATGGGAGAAATAGGGAGAAGCTGGTACAAGGGTACAAATTTTCAGCTATAAGATGAAGAAGGCTTGAGGATCTAATGTAAAACACAGTGACTACAGTTGATAATATTGTATCTTATAATTAAAATTTGCTAAGAGAGTAGAACTTAAATGTTCTTGCCAAAAAAGTAAAGATAAATATGTGAGGTGATGGATATATTAATTTGCTAGCTAGTGGGAGTGGGGGAGCAGATCTTTTCACAGGGCATCTGCATGTCAAATCATCATGATGCACATTTTAAATAACTTACAATTAGTCACTTACATCTCAATAAAGCTGAATTTAAAAAAATCAAGAGTCAAAAATTTTAGCTTGCTCTCAGAATTGCAGGTGAAGAGGAAAGTGTAGTAATTGGTTTCTGGATTTTCAAAGAAAACTGACAAATATTTATACCTTTCAAAAACAAATGTTAAATTAAATGTTATGCCAAACAAAAAACAATTTGCTGAGATAAACAGAATTAGAGGCTTTTCCAGGATTAAATGTTACTTTCCATTGGCAAAGCTACAACCTCTAAAGTCCAGGAACAACAACTTTGTTAGAAAGGAGGTGGCTGCAAGATTAGATTTATGATGCAGATATCTGCTTTTCTGCAGCTGCAGGAAAGAGAAAATATTTCCTCCTTATTTTGCTGAGATTTCTTTCACCAACTTTTTTTCAGGCTGAGCACTGGAATTCCACTAGTTAGCAACGGGAATAAAGGAGGCAGGCCTGGAAGGCTCAGCATTTACAGGGGAAGTCATAGGGCAGGATAAGATTTTTATTAGCAAATGAGTTTATGGAGCATGTAAAGTTTTGTACCTATAGGAGACAGCTGGGCCCAGCGGTCTGTGAATCATTCACGGATGATGATTGAAGTTGTGGGAGTAGATGAGTCCCTCCCGAGAATACAGTTAAGAGTGAGGGAAAAAGAAGCCCAGGACAAGCCACCCGGCCCAGCCAGCATCTCTGCTCTGGGTGTAGCGCTGGGTCTCATTATTACCAACGGCCACAGTGAAAACCCAACCCAGGGCTTCTGGCCCAGTTCCACGGGGCTTTCCTCTGCCCTGGGGCTGAAAGTTGCTTGGTGATAACAGCCATCTAGTTCTGGCCCTTTCAGGGTCCCATTGCATCACTTCTGTCATTTTCTTCCCTGACATTCCTTTTGAATATGTCCTCTGAGCTGGTCGTGCACCAAGCCAAGCCCCTTTGCAGCCATTCTGGGAGACATGTATAGTAATTCCTATTTTATAAAAGAGGAAATTGAAGCTTCAAGGAGCTTAGAGCACTAAGCATCTTGTGCAGGGGCACCTAGCTCTCATGTGGTGGAATCTAGGATTCAACCCACGGGGGCCTGTGTCTGACTCCGGAGTCCAACCACATACTGTCGTCCTGAGTCTAGGGGTCGATGTGAGACTGAGGGATAGAAACCCCTCCTCACAGTGTAGGGTTTGGATCTGAGGCTGCCTTCTACCTCCTGTCATAACCAGAGGAGGGAGGAGCGCTAGTTTTTGTCCATTCCCCCCTTCTTTACTGTCCTCTGTTGACCGGTTGATTATATGATGACATCAGGTCATCTTCAGGTGAGGAAGAGCCTGGAGTAAATCGTTAGGGGTCATGCTCATCCAGACCCAGGTGTGCCAGTTTTAAAGCCAGTTAAGATCTGACCTTGACGAAACCAACGCTATTAAGAGTAGATATGGACAGGAAGAGTATTTTTTTTCTTTAAACCATGTTTTGTCCCTAGGTTCTTTGGGATGTAAATTCAACATTTATTAAGCACTTTCACTGTGTGAGGCACAGGGCTAGGCCCCAGGTAGGGCGCAGACGAATGGACCTTACGGCCTAATGGTGAAGACAGGCATCAGACGTTATTTATACGCCAAGTCAGAATCAGAGTTATAAACACGTAATTGGAATATGGAGGCTGGCCCGGAGGAAAGGAGGGGGCCTTGGAGAAAAGACTGGCAGGATGAGTAGGAAATAAAGAGGAAACGGGAAGGAAGCAGAGGATATGGGCAGGGGCAGGGGGAGGAAATTGGAAGTGTCAGGGAGCCAGGCTGTCCAGGTCAGTTGGAACATGGGGCTCGGACCAAACTTTGAAAAAGTTAGTCACTAGAAGCCAATTAAGTGAATGCTAATTCCTGAGGGATCAGTTCACTGAAGTAAATATACTGCATTTATCAAATTATCAATTTACTTAACACTGTTTGAAAAAGTATTCATTTTTAATATATTCAATAATTGTTAACATATTATTTTTGAAAATAATGAATATGTCCTCTGTAACAGCATTTTAAGTATGTTTTTGTTCAATTTTCTGGAGGAAAATATTTAATCTTATGGTGTACTTTTATGGAATGTTTGGAATTTTTATGGAATCTTATGGAATGTTTTTCTGAGTATATTTGATGTATATATTTTTCTCGTGAATATACAATAATAACAACTGCAACAATTCATATGGGAAGTTTCATATTATTCTCATTTTTTATAGTAAAATTCTGTTTTGCCAACATATTGGTATCTTTAAATCTTTTTAATCTCACTAATGTGCATAATTTACTGACTTACTGAAAATTAAAGAAACTTATTTCTATATTTTTTTATAATTCATAACCGTTTTTATTGCCTGGGAGAAATTTACCACATTTTGTCAATTTCATGGATGATTTAGTGGACTGGTTTTTATTATGTGGAACTTTCCTCAACATCAACTCTTTGCAGCCTCATCAGATTGCTGGGGCAGAAGGAGGAGAGAGTTGCGATTGGAAGGGATGAGCTAGGAAAACAGAGGGGGAAACACACAAAGAGGAGGTGCGTAAAGCCAAAACCTGGGTTCTGGCTCCTCCCAACCTCTTAAAAACACCTCAATTCATTCAATACAAATTCTGTAAACACACTTTTAGTAAGAAAATAATTTGTTAAATTGCTCATTTGATTGAACTTATTTTGGGGATAGAATTGTCCCACCAGCCATGCATAGAGTTCATGGGATAGGATGTGCATGGATGAGGTGGATTTGCCCACAACTAACTGGTGGAGGAATAGCTTCATCAGAATTGAATTTGGAAAGATAAGATACTATGGATCATTACTCAATGAAGTTAGGCCCCTCCACAAAGTATGATGGGCCACTATAAATTACCCCCCTATAGTGTGGGACAGAAATATCTTTAAGGGAAATATTGAGGTGATTCCCTTCACCTAAATGAAGATGTGCTTAATATAAATTAGAGGCACATGGGAGTGTAGACTCATCTGGATCTAACAGAGGTATCAGGATAAAAGATAAAATTCAACATTTCTGGTGATGGACCATGATTTGACTTTGGGTGGTGGGCACACAGAGCAATGTACAGATCATGTATCATTGACATGTACCCTCAAAACCTATATAATATTATTAACCAATATCACACCAATAAATTTAATTAAAAAAATGACTATTCAAAAAAATTCCACACTTCATTGAGAGTGAAGTTCATATATTCCTTTAAGGAAAAGGGCTGTTTTAAAAATATACGTTTTTATATATGTTTTATTGATTTCAGAGAGAGGAAGGGGGAGAGAGAGAAACAGAAACATCACTGATGAGAGAGAGTCATTGATCGGGGGGGCCCCCTGCAGGCCCCCTACTGGGGATTGAGCCCACAACCTAGGCATATGCCTCAACAGGGAATCAAACCGTGACCTCCAGGTTCATGGGTTGACGCTCAACCACTGAGCCACACTGGGTGGGCAGGACTATTTTTAGTGCAAATTTAAGATATATTGTTTTTCTCCTAAGGGAAAGGAAGTGGTGGTAAAGACAAAACTATCCTTCATGATTTTGCTTTAAATAAGTCTTTAAATAGTTTAAATAATGAAAGTACATTTCTTTATATATCTCTATATATCTACATATATAGATATCTCTCTCTCTCTCTCTCTGTCTTTATCTCTATATCATCATCTATATCTATGTCTACTTCGATAGATAGATAGATAGATAGACAGACAGACAGACAGACAGACAGACAGACAGACAGATAGATAGATAGATAGATAGATAGATAGATAGATAGATAGATAGATAGATAGATATAGAACCATTTTTTCAAAACTGCAAATTGACTGACAGTTTATTGTCTTAGTTGACAGTTGTCATGAGGAACTCCCAAAACTATATATAGTGGTCCAACTCCTTTTCTCTGTCTCATCACTTTACTGCCTTTTTGTTTGGTTTTACGTGTTTTCCCTCTTCTCCAAATCCTCCGCCATGTCCTTGGTCAGATCATCTCCGTCGCTCACCTGGTCAATTGTAATAGTCTTTTTGTTTTTGTAATGTCATTTAAAAAAGTTATTTTATTTTTTAATTTTCCCTCTTTATTTTATTTTATTATTATTTTTCATCACTATTTATCCCCCATATACCCTCTTCCACCTCCATGGCCCCCTCAGTCAGCCTCCCTGTTTCTTCTCTTAGTTCAATCTCTCCTGCCGTCAAGTACACATGTGCTATAGTGATCTTAAAGCACAAAGATGTCACTCCTTAGCTTTAAGACAAACAAGCCAAAAACAAAAACAAAGAAGGCTCTTTATTCCCCAAAGAGTAGCATCCATAAATTCCTAAACTTGGCCTTTATATCCCTTTCAGACACACCTGTAAGTTGCACCTTCCTTAAGACCATCTCCCTATGTCAGACGCTATTTTCCAGCCACACTGAAATATTATCTACTGTTCCCCCAGTCTGCCCTGCATCCACCCATTCTGTAACCTTTAAAGCACACCTGACTCAGCTACAGCCACCTCCTCTCTCTCCACTTGGAATTAATCTGTCTTCTCAATAGAGCCCCCCCACCCCATTTTCACCCCCGAAGCTAACACTGTTTTGTGTTGTAAGAGTTGCGCATGTCATTTCCTCCACTAGGCTGTATTTTCTTGAAGACATAGATCCCATACCATTAATCCTAGTGCTTTATAACAAGTAAGGATTCAATGAGCGTTTACTAAGATGAGTTCTTTCAGCAGAAAAATGTTGGAGAAACCTCAGGTCACGCACCCTCCAAGAGCTCTGAATGGGACCCTTGATCAAAAGAGGAAAATGACAGCCTGGCCCTTCCCTAGGCTGAGAGCCTCTGATCCAACTCTGTTCCAAATGACCTTGATGGCCGCTCTCTTGGCTACTGTTCTTGGTGAGTATTAGACAAGTTTAGATTGGCAATCAGTATTCAAGGTCATCCACTTGTTCACTTTTAAGACTAACAAAGAGATGATTAAGCTTTTAGCAGAAATCCATCTTCAGCAACCAAAGCTTTGTTTGATCAGGAATCTGGATTTATTTGAAATTTGGAATTTAAGGGGATTTGGAGTTACTTGGAATTCAGGGGGATTTGCTTTACCCATGAAAGAGGCAGTTTTCTAGACACTTCTTGCTAGATTTCTTCTTCAGAAATTTCTCAATCTGTCTCCCACCCATGATTTGAGACAAATCTATATTATGTATCAGCTTGACAGAACGGTTTTCACTGCCAGTGGGTTTATCCAGAATAGAGGGGGGAAATGTATACTACCAGGACTCGGAAAAGGTAAATCAGTTCTGCATTTGATTCTTGCTAAAAAAACAGGATTAAGATTTTTATATTTCGAGGGCTTCACGTTTCTTTCTCCATAGCTTTCAAAATCCTAAAGGCACAAAAAAATACAAACAAAAATGTCATTCCAATTCATCTTCCAGCCACCCAGTTTCCCTTCCCCGAGGCAACTAATGTTATATACAGTTATTTTAAATGAAATACTATGTTTCTGTTGAGGGAAGTTGTAGGGACTTTTGACTTGGCACAGATGCATCTGAGTCAGCAGAGATGGAAAATCTGATAGGCTGATGAAACCATGTCTGTCATCCTTTTAAAATAAATTATCTTATACATAATAGAGAAAGGCTGAAAAATTTTTGCCTTTTGTCATGATCATTTATCAATAAACGTGTATTACTGATCAGTCACTGGATTCATTGAACAATAGAGATAAAAGGAGTTATTATTTTTCTTGATTAGAGGAGAAAGAATGGTTCCTGCTCTAAAAATCATAGTGATGAAAACACTAAGATGCTGAGTCCCAAGCTGTAACTTTCGGTGCTCTTTGTCATTTTGGTGTCCAGGGAGTTGTGGCCCCCCACCCTATTTAGAGTTTGCTTCTCCAATAAGTGAGACGAATGAAACAAGCTACAAAACTGGAGCTACCCTGAGCTACAGATGCCGCCCTGGCTATAGTAGGACCGGTTCAAGAAATCAGGTTCTTACCTGCAAGGTAGGAGGCACATGGGACTACACCACCTTCTGTATCAGTAAGTATGAACATTTATTTTCTTATTTGTGCTTTTTCCTTTTTTGCAAAGTTGTCTCAGGAACGAAGCTTTCTGAATGCAAATGAGAACTTTTGTTCACTAAGAAACCACCCAGTTTGTCAGCGACTGATTTTAATATACACGTTGCCACTTTGTGAAGAACATAAGTAAGCCAACAAACAAATAAGTAAGACAGAAAAATTAGGAGCTGCCTAGTTGCAACTGAAAATTTAAGTCTGTTTTTTACAAGGTAATTCAGCAAGCACTCCTTTCAGAAGTTAACTACAAATTCAATTTTAAAATATTGAAAACCAGATTCACTCTTCACAAAATTATAAAAAGTTATATGGCTAGAAAGTGGCAATGCAGTTTTCAAAGAAATCTCACCCAAAATATTTGCTGAGTTTGGAAAAAGGTGCTGTGATCCCCTCTCCGCTGAGTATATTCTGTGATGTTTTTCCAGTAGTAAGGGTGTACAATCTCTTTTTTTTCTTTGTGCTTTTTGTGGCCAAGGACATGCATTTTTGAGTGACTTAAGAGCCAAGCACAGGCCGCTGACATAGAACACAGCATAGCTCCCTGCTCAGTGTGTTCAATCCTGGACCATAGGTCCATGAGCATAGTGACTTAACTGGACATTTTTCTCTATTGGTAAAATGTATCAGAAAAAAATTTATTTTTCCTCCAAAGTAAAAATTCAGTGAGTCGGGATCAGAAATAAGTTTGGATCTGAACCTCTGGTCTTTCTGGAAAGAGAGGTGAAAGCTAACCCATCAGTCTTCTTTCGTAATGTCATATCAGTGAGACCTTGAAATCACTAATTCTCATTTTAACTTTTCTCTCAGGGAGACAATGCAGCAACCCAGGAGAGTTACGCAACGGGCAAGTGATCATTACGACAGATTACTCTTTCGGATCACACATAGAATTCAGCTGTTTAGAAGGGTGAGTGTGAGGCCGTCTTGAAACAACACTTTAAGAAATCAATAGCTTTTGTGTTTATATAATTCCGAAGTGAAAATAATGTAAAAAGGTATACACAGAATCTTTGCTTTTACTCTATCACCAACCACCCATTCCTCCTGTCCTTAAACAAGGATTTATTTTTATTCATTTTTTTAATGCGTCTTTCTAGTGTTTACTTTTACAAATACAAGCTAAGAAGTTAGTACATATTTTTATTTTGTACCTTCTCAATCACAAACTTAATTTTTAAATCGGGCTTACTTTTCTTTATCAATATATACAGGCGATATTTCCATTCTTGTGCATAGAAAGGTTCCTTGTTGATATGTTTTTACAACTGCATAAAATTTTTATTGCTGGATATATCATGTATTAATAATGTATTTGATGGATCCATGGGTATTTTTAATCCTTTGCTATTCTGAACAGGGCTCTGATGACTTTACCTTGTACATATATAATTTTGTACATATGTAGTTATGTCTGTAAGGTAAATTCCCACAGTGGGATTTCTGGGTCAAAAAATGCATATATTAGAAAATTTGAAAGATATTGCAAGTTGCTCTGCCTTGGGGTTACATGGTTTTGCAGAGTATGCTAATGTCTGTCTGTCCATAAACTTTCCAACTAAGAGTGTTGTCAAACTTTTGAAGACCTGTCAATCTTTTGAAATTTTTCCAATTTAAGAGGTAAAAATAAAATCTCACTATAGTCTCAATGTATATTTCTCTTACTATGAGTGAAGTTGAGCATATTTGTATATGTTTAAGAGATGTTTGTATTTATTTGTAAACTATTTGGCATGTCCTTTGCCCACTTTTTTCTCTTGACTTAACTTTTTATTTTTAACTCCTAATTATTCTTAACACACACACACACACACACACACACACACACACACACAGGTGGAGCAAAAGTAGATTTACAGCTGTGAGTCAAAATGCACTTTATTCTTGTATTATTATTTATTAATTATTGTATTATTTACCACACAAACAACTGTAAACCTACTCTCGCCTCCCCCCCCC